CAGCGCCGTCCCTCTTCCCCGGGGCTGGTTAAATGTTAACGTGTTTTGAGGACGCGTTTCGCTCAGCGCTTTGCTTTGCAAGTAAAATTTACTTAATCACCACCACCTTGTGATGTCGGCGCTGTTCTGGTCCTGGGTCCACCTGGCTCCTTGAGTTTGAACCCCTTCCCGCTGCCTTGATTTTAGGATTGTTATCTGGGATTTGAATCCACTTTTCAGTGATAGTCATGGGACTAATCTTTCGAGAGAGTAAGCTGGCTCTCAAAATTATAGGGTTAAGAAGTTGAGCTTGGATTTCTGGGAACACTAAATTCTAAAGTAAACTATCACCTAGTTTACAGACACCTCGGAATGCAAGAGCCTAATAGCAACCACCTCGAGTTTGTACAAAGACAGTTATCCTCAGAGAGGTACTGTTTTAAATGAAAGAATTTCTTGACATGTTGACAAGCTAAACGGAATCCCATGGAAATCAGTAAGATGTTGATTTTCCTCCTGCATGTCATTCTTCTTCCTATGAGGACACTGACTTTCTGGTGGTTAAATATCTGCCGAAATGCTTCCCAGGGATGAAATTTTGGGTCTCCTGCAGAACAGGTGACCTGGAAGGGAGCAGGTGCTGTCAGGGTAAATTGAAATAGGATGCTTTCAGTACAGTTTTTCTCAAATGAAGGTTTCAGGCAAATGTGATTTAACTATTACAAACTTTGGGTAGATTTCGGCTTACCTTTTTATAACTTAAGTCTAACTGATTTCCTGAGTGGGAGACAAAGGTATTTGAGCAAGTGTTTTGACAATTTTGCATTACCCACCAGCTAATTTATGTGTCTGTCCTTTGCCATCATTGATTGATTTATTATTAATGATGCTAACAGACCTAATAGTGCTTTTATATACAGGCATACCTTGGAGATATTGTGGGTTCGGTTCCAGACCACCACAACAAAGCTAGTCCTAATCTTTTTTGCAGGTGGAAGGTCTTGCCTTCAATTTGAAAAAAATGCAACATCTGTGAAATGCAACAAAATAAAGCACAATACAATCAGGTATGCCTGTATTCACTCTCTCTTTACCTGACCCTTAGCCTCCCTCTGCCCCAGCAACATAGTGTTTACTTCTTAGCAACATTTAGGGGTATGTCAAAATTTGGATGTGCCCATGGAAGTAAGTTGCTCATCTGCTAGTAGAAACAGATTGAGCACCTTTCATTTGGTGGAAAGATCTCTGGATTTGGGTGAGGTGGGGATGAGAAACATTTTCTTGATTCACCTCATTTCTCCCTCTCTTTCTTCTGAGGCTTTCACAGACTCCGCTCCGCACCCCACACTCATATGTTATCACTCCCTGCTATTCTGTCCTCATTCCTGTTCTCCCACGCTAGGCTCACTTTTTCCAAGCAACCTCATTTCTTATAATTTTTTAAAAAAATTTATCTTTATTATTGAAAGTATTACAGATGCCCACCTTTTTTCCCCATTGATCTCCTCCACCCAGCATCATTTTAAAACTGCCACATCTTTTCTTCTAGCCTGGGCTCTAATCTGAATTCCAGACACATTTAAATCGTTTTTCTTGATACCTCCACTGGATCTTTTATGGGTACCTCACACTGAATCCCTAAACTCCCATCTGGCTAGACAGTGAGCCACTGTGACAGGTGGCATTATCTCGTCCAAATTGGAAGCCAAGGATTATATCATGTGTTTCATCTCCTAGTATCTACAACCTTAAAGCCCTCCTTTAGGAGGGGTATTATTTTCCATTCCTCATGCTTCCTGAGAGGGGAGGAAATTAGCACTTGATTCAGGAGGGAAAAGGATTTTCCCCTTTCTTTGTCATTGATGAAACTAGGAGGAGGAATAAGGCATACTCAGTTATTTCTGGGTCCTCTCTGATTTTTAGATTTGCCTAAGCTTAGCAGAATGAATATGTTCTGGTTTGCTTGTATTTCTATCTGTATGATAATTATAAAGGGCCTAAATTTAAGATATAAAATTGTTGACTTGGATTATGGTAAATATCAGTTATTGGTGATTTAAATCTCAGTTTACTTTGAGGCTTTTAAAATAAAGGTGAGTACCGATGTATAGAAAGACGATGAAAATAGAACAAGAATTAGTAAAAACAGCTGTGATCTATTGATTTCTAAGTGTCAGGTGTGCCATACATTTTATATGCATCATTTTGTTTTTTCTTCATAACAACTCTGGAATAGATATTTCCATTTTACAAAAGAGGAAACTGAGGGATAGGATAAGGAATGTATTTGAGGTCATTCACATGCAGTCAATTAGTGATTGAATTGGGTTTCAAATCCAGGTATTTCAGCTAAACTATTGTC